CTGTTCTGGAATTTTGGGGGAGATGAACAGTAACATTCGTAACGGAACTTCAAAAAAACTGACGGAAAGGGTAACGTGAGACAGTTTTTTGCACGTTGGGGGGTACTTTGAGACGTTTTCCACCACAGGTGGTAATCTGAGATAAGTTGGAAAGCACAGGGGGCATGTACATAATTAAGCCAATTTATAATGACTTGATGGTCGCTCCAAATTCCAACGACTTTGCAAATTATCTCTTCTTTTTTTTTGTTCTTTAGTTGGGTCGGGTAGTAGTTTGGGCTTGGGTCTGGGCTTTCCTTTGACTAGTGACGCTTTCCATGGGCTAGCATTTACCATGTTGCCTCCCGCTTTTGGGCTGCCATGGATTAACATTTTGCAGACAAACAAGTTTTTGCTTTAGCACCAGAGCATCATGAGCGTGCCCACAGCCACACCCACAGTTGCCTTCACCACCCCTCCAAACTACGCCGCCAGGCTGGCCCACCTCCTCGCCCTCAAAGGATTCAACCCAATCTCCTCTCCCACGCTCATCGTCCAGCCCACCCCACCCACCATCTCCGCTCTCAAACCCTACCTATCGCCACCCCCGTCCCTCGACCTCTTCTCCGCCATCGCCTTCCCTTCACGCGCCGCAATCACCGCCCTTTCTGCCGCCGCCGCAGACATCAATCACCCTCTCCTGTCGCCGCACGGCGATGCATTCATTATCGCCGCGTTGGGCAAGGACGCCGAGCTCATGGACGACAACTTCGTCCATAAGCTCTGTTCAAATCCTAACCGGGTTAGAATTTTAGTCCCTCCGACTGCGACTCCGAGCGGCTTAGTTGCAGCACTAGGAGACGGACGCAATCGGAGGGTGTTGTGTCCAGTCCCGGTCGTGGTGGGACTGGTTGAGCCTCCTGTGGTCCCCGATTTTCTCCGAGACTTGGAGGCCAAGCGTTGGGTTCCGGTTAGGGTTAATGCGTACGAGACGCGGTGGGCCGGGCCGCGGTGCGCTAAGCACGTGGTGGAGAGGATTGAGGAAGGAGCATTGGATGCGATGGTGTTCACGAGCACTACGGAGGTGGAGGGCTTACTGAAGAGCTTCAAGGAGTTTGGGCTGGATTGGGAGATTGCCAAGAAGAGGTGTCCCAAGATGTTGGTTGCGGCCCACGGGCCCATCACGGCGGCTGGGGCCCACAGGCTTGGGGTTAGAGCAAGTCCAGCGCCTCACCTGGCCCGGGGGAAAGGCTGCCCGACGCAGCCCGACTTCGCTCCAGCGCAGGGCCTGTAGCCCAGTTTGGTGGCGGGTCCCACGTGCCCGAGCAAGCCCAAGGGCAAGTCTTGCCCGGGCTGAAGCCCGAGTTGGCTGACGTCACGCTGACGTCAGCGCACAGTAAAACAGATTTTTTTTTTTTTTTGCCAAAAAAATTCGAAAAAAATTCGAAAAAATTCTGAAAAATTCTGAATTTTTTTTTTAAATACCAAAAAATTCTGTATTTTTTCCCTATAAATACCTAACCATTTTATTCACTTTCTACACCAAATCTTCATAAAAACTCATCTCCTTCCAATATTTTTCACTTTCCACATCAAAATCTTGGCAACGAGGTAAAAAAAAAAAAAAAAATCCGTTTTATTCAATTTAATGTTTTTATATATATATATATATTTCTTGCATTTCCAATTTCTTTTTTTTTTAATAGATTAGTCAAGGCAAAACCAAAAATGTTATTCGAAAAATTTTATCCAAAAATTTTATTTGAAAATTTTATTCGAAAAATGTTATCTTAAATTTTAAATGAAAATTTTATAATAAATAGTGACACGTGACAACCGAAAATATAATCTAAAAAGCTTATCAAAATTAATAGTTTAAAGTATAAACAAATAGGAAATAAAGTACAATGAATAGTAATTGCCTCAGACTTGCCCTAGACTTTGCCCTTGTGGGTGGAACCACAAATGCAAAGGCTGACACTATTCACGTAAATAGTAACAGCCCTTGCTTGCCCTTGCCCTAGACTTTGCCCTTGTGGGTGGAGATGCTCTTAGAGTTGATTTGGCGAGCTCTCAATTTGATAGCTTTCAAGGCGTCGTTGATGCTTTACACACTGAGATTTCAAGGCTGAGTTAGATTTGTAGCAAAAGTCTCATGGAAAAAGATTTTGTATGTAACAGTGTAATGTTAATGTGAAACAAACTGCTTCTGTTAACTCAATACCAAGGGCTATGGAAATTGGAAAAACACAACAAACTTATACTATATTATATATTATATTTATATGCCGTTATTAATATTAAAATTAATATTATACAGCAAAAACATTTCTAATGCTTATGGTAGAAACAAGCTAGAGAACAACAAATTCACTACAAACAGAAACAGCCAAATCTCTCACTTAAGTACTTCATCTTGTATATATATATCTTTGTTTTTAATTGGTAATATGCATCTAAAATCATAATCTTGCTGCTGCTGCTTCAATACTCGGGTTATTTTTCTTGTTGCTTTTCCACTCTGATAAAAGCTTCAATGTATTCTCCATTGATGGCCGTTCAGACGGCCTACTCATGGTGCAAAGTGTAGCAACCTCAAGTACCAATTTTATCTCCTCTTGCACTGGAACATTCGTACCAACTTCATTCTCATTGTAAATTTCTCTCAGAACAACTTCCCCTGACTTGCTCTGTATGCTTGCTCCTGAATTCGTCAACCTGCCATTGCTTAAAATTTCCAGCATGATCTCCCCAAAGCTATATACATCCCTGTATAGCTCCTCTTTTGTGGCACTATTGGTATCACCTGTTCAAACATTTACAAACAAAGTTTTCAACAGCTGCTTTTGGGTCCAAACAAAAGAAGAAAATGAGTAATGACAGAATTGATAGAGGCTAATAGCAAAAGAAATCGAGGTGTTCAGATAATTCTCTTTCACAGCTTCTACAGGCAAAAAAAATAATATATATATATCTTCTAGATTTGCTAGTCTTCATTGTATCAGGTGGCTGACTCTACTTTTATGCACATCACAAACTTTCTTGTTAGGACTTCACTGAGTTCCAGAGGGTTAAATACTCAAGGTTGCTCAGGTATATATATTCTCTACTTTGGTAATGGTACTGGTGATGGAAGGCCTTAAATTATATGTTTGGCATGGCAGGGTAAAACTTTTTGAAGACAACTATTACATAATTGATTGTCTCTACTACACGAAAGAACACATTTTGTTATGCATACCTGTATCCCTTTTGGAAGTTGCTGCTGCAAATGAACCTTTGTTCAACTCGAGCAGATGCTTGAACCCGAATTCTGACAGCTGAGGTTCCATATTTTCATCAAACACTATATTACTCGACCTCAAGTCTCCATGGGCAATTGCAGGATGACAGTCATGGTGAAGGAAGCATAATCCCTTTGCGATGCCGATCACAATTTTGTACTTGGCTGCCCATTCCCTTTTCACTCTTATCTTTTCAGCCAAATTTCCATTGGGGGCGTAATCGTACAAGAGATAAGCCAGATGCTTGTTGTAGCAAAATCCGAGCAATCGAGCTAGATTCTTATGCCTTGCATTCCCAATTTGGGTAATAAATTCCAACATAACTCCCATTCTCTTTGCTTCCCATTCAATCTTCTTCACTGAAACTGTGATTCCTGTGGGCAGAACTGCTTTGCATGCTGAAGCTGACAATGGAGGCAGTGCATCCATGGATTCTATAGAACTGAAGCTCATCAATACATCATTTGCTGTGAATTGAGGAAGTCCAGCAAATGAGATCATCTTCCATTGCCTTTTGCTGCCTCTTTGGATATAAATTATCCCCAGAATTGATAGAGTAATGAACATAATTACACCTGCACACAGTAGCAGGACCCATATAAGCTTCCCGGCGCCTCTGCTTCCAAATATCGCCACCGAACTCGGACATGGTCTCAGAGGTTTTCCACATAGCTTTGGATTTCCAATGAATGCGCTACTTCCCATTGCTCTTAATAGCTTTGCAGAAGGAATGGTTCCAGAAATATCATTGAAAGACACATTTAGAAGTAATAAGCTCGAAGAAGAACCAAACTTGGCAGGTATTGGTCCATTGAAACTATTATGTGACAGGTCTAGGACACCAAGGGTAGGAACACCTGCAAGCTCCTCAGGTATATGACCTGATAAATTATTGTTAGCTAAAGCAAACCTCTCAAGAGCCTGGCAGTTAGAAACACTTTCTGGAACGGTTCCTTCTAAACTGTTCATGCTCAGTTCAACAACAGATATGGATTTGCAGTTTTGGAATGGGGGAAGATAGCCAATGATACCACATGAAGATGCAGAAAAATTCTGAAGTGGCGAAGACCATGTTTGTGCAGGAATTGTACCCCCTAATTCTGGATTATTAGAAACATTGAAGTACTCAAGCTTGGGAGCTTGTGATATATCTATTGGAATCCCACCAGTAAGCTTGTTCCCAGATAAGTCAACATATGTGATATCAGGAAGACGGCTGAATTTCAAAGGGATCTCACCTGAGAATGAGTTATCTTCAAGTCGAAGACGAACAAGAGAAGAACAATTGGAGAGAGATGTGGAAAGACCGCCTGTAAAATTGTTTGAAAAGAGCATCAACTTAAATAGCACACCTTGCAAACAGATATCCGCTGGAATGCTGCCATTGAAGTTGTTTGTAGAGACATCCACCCACTTGAGGTTTGAGTTCCTGCCCAAGCTCTGTGGAAGGTTCCCAGAGAAGAAATTGTTCCATATAAGAAGAGTCTCTAGTGACGGAAGCTCTGCAATTCCTTCAGGAACTGTGCCACTCATGTCATTGTAAAAAAGACTGAGCAGTCTAAGGCTCTTCAACTCTAAAAGGCTCTCGGGGATAGGCCCAGAAAGCAGATTATCAGAAAGATCCAAGCTTGTGAGAGGCCTGATTTTGCTAAATTCCCCCGGTAGCAGTCCACTGAGCTGGTTTCTGAAGAGAAAAAGTGACTCAAGCTTGGCGAGATTGCCAAGTTCCCTTGGTATTGAGCCGGAGAGGTTTGCATAAGCAATATCAAGATACTGAAGCTCACTCATGTTGCCCAATTGCCACGGGATGCTTCCCTGATAAAAATTGTAGCCAATCTCCACATGGGTGACTGTTTTGAGCTTGCCCAGTTCTGGTGGTACGCTTCCACTGATCATATTCCCTGCAAGATGAAGAAACTCCAGGCTCTTGAAAGAACCATATTCTGATGGGATTGGTCCCTTGAAATAACTTCCAGCTAAATTGAGGACCTTGAGATGTGGAAGCTGTGAAACCTCAGTAGGCAATGACCCCGAAAAGCTGTTGCTAAAGGCATCAAGCACAACCAAGTTTCCAAGACCTGAGACTCCACCAGGAAAGTGACCAGAAAAGTTGTTTCTGCTAATATCCAAGCTTCTTAGACTGGTGAGGTTGAAAATTCCCACAGGGAGCTGGCCAGAGAATGAGTTGTAACTGAGGTTGAGATCAACAAGCTCAGTGAAGACGTTAAATTGCTTTCCAGAAATTGCACCACCAAGCATCTTCATTGACAGGTCTAAACCAGTAACAGTGGAGTTCTTGTTACATTTGACACCAGACCAAGAACATGCGTAGATTTTCCCAGATGGGTTATATCCGGAAGGCACAAACCAGTCTTCCAAACTACCATGGTCATCTACAAGCTCAGATTTTAAGCTCAGAAGGGTGTCTGAGTAGAGATCAGCTGCTGAAACCGCCACAAAGAACATCAAAGGGACGAGCAGAAAATTTAAGTAGAAGAAGCAATGGAAAATCTCCATCGGAACTCGCAGTTGAGATGAGAGAGGGACAATTTTAGAGACCCAAAGAAAGAAAAATGTGTCAGATTATTATAAGGTATCCGTTTGTTTTGGTGAGACTTTAGCGAGAGATGCATGGGAACTAGCGAAAGGAGGAGGGCTCAACAAAGAAAGGGAATGGTGACTGGCTGATATACTTTTGATTAGTTGAAATGAGAATATAATATAATTAAATTTTATGTTGGGTTGCTTTTGGGTGCGAGATGGGACCTCTATTTGCTTTGGGTTTATTTGGATGGTGTTGGCCATTAAGAATAAAGTAAAATCTCCTAAGAATAAAGCTTTCATCCCACAGGAAGGCAGGGTATCTCTTTTTCCCACTGGAAAGAATCCAATAAGAGAGCAGAGAGCAGAGAGCAGAGAGCGAGCGACTTGAATTCTGAATTGGTATTTGCACACCGTGGGACATAAGTTAACAGGAGAGAGAATCAATCAATATCCATGTTTATGTGTTATCGAAAATAGTAAAGGTGTATTCTGCACGGTCTCTTTAGGCTGGATGGCTTCTTCAAGCAAATTTGCTCCTCACTATTATATTATAACAAGATATGTATTCTTCGGTAATTATAAAAAGACTACTCTGTTTAGGCCTAATAAGTAACCAACACCTTTGTGATGTTCAGGTACAAAGTTTCACTCAAAAAAGGTTCCTAGTGCAACTTGAGGAGATGATTCATTAGTTAATTCAAACGATACATAAGTCATAATCCGTGATTAATTGTTTAATCTATTATTTTTGGACTATCGACTGTTCTTTGATTGTGATTCTTATAGGATAATCTTCTCAGTAATGATGGTCCATAATGCATGTTTATTACCTTTTGCTGTTTCCTTTCAATAATGGCTGTCACCTACAGTGTTCATGGTGCACATCAGCACAGGGTGGGCACAAGAAACACTCTCATGGAAGGATATCACTTTAACACAATGACACGGGGATATCTTTTTTACATGTCATTGTGCTATTGGTCAGATATAGCAAAATAATGTTATCTCCATTACAAGTAAGTTTTTTTAGGTGGGCACAATAAATAATTTCAAAGCTTTAAGAAGAAATATGAACAATACATACATTAGGGAGGGAGGGACACAATTTCAAAGCTAAAAAAAAAAGAAAGAATTTATATGCAGCCAAATCAGCTTCAAGGTAATAACTTGTTGTTAATGAGATTGTAATAAGTACAAGAATTGATAAATATGATTGAAGATATTTGAAATGACAGTGGCAGGTGCTGAGGAGCAGTGCAGTGCAGGGGGAAAGGGAAGGTAAAGGAGTAAAGACAAGGTTGATGTTCAATAAAAGAAGTTACCTTTTTCTTGATTTATGATCAGCAGAGCCTTTTGTGTTCCTTGAGGGAAGGACATTCACAAAAGAGTTTCGCCCATTCTTGAATCTTGACCGTAACAGTGAATTCCAGGGATGAGAGATCGTGTGGGTAAGTGCGTGCGTGCGTGCGTGCATGCGTGTTTTCTTGAACCTTTTTTGTTCATAACATTTTTGCTATACATTTTCTAAAATTGAACGATTTTATTGAGCAGTATGCTGTGGCGTGGCCTCTATGGCAGTGGCCTCCCAGGAGGTTATATTACAGTGGAAACATTTTGCCTTTGTTAAGTATGTAGGGATGGATTAGTTAGCTTAGGGGCATCGAAACCCTTCAAACAAAACCAGATCATTGTTGTTGGATCATGATGTAGGTAAAATTGAGATAGGTTTCCTTAAGCACACATCATGTACATCCTTATGGGTGGAGAAAAACTTCCACGTCTTCCTATCTTTCTTCCCGTGTCACTTATTAAAGGATGATAGATATAGAAAGAATTGGACAATGAAACGGGAATAGGGAAGTATTTCTCCTATGAATGGGGCGGCTTTGTGATGAAATGGGTCAACATCTGCTTTTAGGTTAAAATGTGTGATGCCCATAAGAAAAGCAAATAAGAGGAAACATAACTGGAACAGAGGAAAGTAAAACTGCTAAAAGCATTAGAGTTTTTAGAATTAATGTATTAAAAGTGTATAAAAAGGACCAGAAAAGCCTGTCTTATTATTATCAGTACACTTATTTTGGTTTAATTAAAAAAATGGAAAACTCTAGGGCCATACATACAAAGTACAAAGTTTACAAACATACATGTCATGCAAATCTCTGTTGATTCAAAGGAAACAGTGCCAATTGGTAATTCAAGTTTTGGGTTTACCATTATCACGGCTCACGAGAACAGAGGGGCCTGCAAGCAACCAATGGTTCACCAACTTCACACACAGAGACAGAGCTACCCTGACAATTAAATCCCTCAGGAAATCTCGTGATTCTCTTAATGTAAACCTGCTGCTATGCCATATATAAACAGTGCTGCAAGACATTGCACATTTTGTCATCTTCCTATTTCACTTTGCCGCTTGCTTGTGGTGGCTCTGTGATAAAAGTGGCCAAAACCGTTCTTTAAGAATCTACGGTTCTTTTTTGGCCCAAGTAAAAGTGATGGTATGAATGAGTGATCAAAACATGGTATCTCGTGTTTTAGCCCGGAAGATGATGCAATGGTGTTGAATGTTGATAAAAAAAACAAAAACAAAAACAAAACTAGCCGAAGAAGTTTCCAGCCGACAGGGTAGGTTTGAAATTGAAAAGCAAACTTCACTATTTCAAGTTTCAACATCTGCTTTGATTTGAATTGGATTTGCGTGTGCCGAGAACATCACATCTTTTTATTTAGGAAAGTAATTTACCCGAATTGGATTCCCATTAGAGTGAAAAAGTGTAACAGCTTATTATATTTGATATGATACCACCCTCATCCAATCATATACATGAAGTACAATTAAAAATGTATTAAACCTAGATTTTCTCAGAAATTATGTTTTACCCATTCTTCATATGTGGGGCAAGATACCCACTGATCACCTTGCTTTGAAATGAGATATGCTGTACATGAAGTCAGTTGGGTCTCATTTGGGAGTGAGACTTTCATGCAGCAATGAGGATAATATTTTTTGTTATTTTCAATCAATAATACAATGATACGCGGAATAATTTTTTCACATGTCATTGTATTATTGGACGAAAATAGTAAAACAATCATATCCTCATTACAAGAAAGTTTTTCTGTTAATTTAGAGATTAAAATAGGGGAAACATTTAGTCAAAATATTAGTGGTGCAGAAACTAATAAGCAAAATGGGATTTAACATTTTGCTAAAAAAAAGGCATCAATCAATCAATCATGCATAAAGTATTGTATAATACATAAAAAGAAAAGAAAAGCAAAGATAGAGTGGGTGGAGTTCATAAAGTGATTGAAGAAAGGGGACCTCTTCATCCATCTATGATCTAACTCTATAAGAGCATCCATGAGGAGTGTATATAAGGGTGTATGTTAAATATACACCTCTTATCACTGAAATTATCTCTAATGGAAAGATGTAAAGGGATATAAATATACACCTCTTATCACCGGAATCATCTCTAAATGTAAATATACATTTTATTTTATATCTCTTGTAGGCGGGACCCACCCGAGAAAAGAAAAGAAAAATAAAGAAACAATTATACATCTTAGATTTACATCTTTTCCCATTGGAGCAAAAAACATATTTACACCCCCCCGGATGTATAAAGAGGATGTAAAAGTGACTTTACATTCGCGAATTTACACCCCCCCACTGTGGATGCTCTAACACTCATCCATCTTTGAATTATGGTAGTTTTCACTTGTGCTTTTGATTGTTAGTAATAACCCTTAAACCTGTCTTAAGCGTTACATCACCACCATCAGCATAATCCCCTTACTTAGATCTAACATCAATCAGGATTTCGTTAAAACATAGACAAGGGAATGCCAGAGTAAATGTGTAACCTTCACATATACAACTCTCAATCACCAGAAGTAATGTTCCGTAAGAATAATAAACTCTCCGACAATAACACTTCCCAGAAAGCCAAGGAAGAGGAGTTTTTATGTACGTGTTTCAGCCTATATATATATGGTTGCAATTTACTTGTTTGCGCCTCTTTTTTTTTTTTTTTTTCACTGCATCTTTTAGCACACAAAGCTTAGAATCTTATATTATACATACAGCTAGCATATTTGGGAATAATTGAAATATCATTTTGTTGAGTACATCTTCTGCAAGACCAGTTTTGCATGCATCAAGGACTCAAGTAAAGAGAAGAAAAATGAAATGGAAGAAATCAAGTGTAACAGCCTATATACTGACAAAGTATGAACTCAAGTTTGGTCCTTGAAAGTTGAAACTGCTAACGGAATTTGGATAAAGAAGACAAGTGGAAGAAATGGTCTTCCATCTTTGTATTACTTCAAATTTCATGTGATAACAGTCAATTAATGTTTTATTCTACAGTAGACCGTGTAATGCAAATCAAAACCCTGGTGACTCTTACAAAAAAATGAGGAAAAAGAAAACCACCCCGTTGAAGCAATAGCTCATGACAAAGGTCGTAAAAATGACTAAAGAATGTTGATACAACATCAAACCTCCAAACGGACAGCAGAGTCGAGCTTCAAACGATTTAGTCGAACAGTCCCAAGAATGTACTCGGGCAACTCCGCCTCCTCTTTTGCCTGCAAGCAAAGTATGTGTTTATCACATGCAACCAGGTTACATCAATATTTTTGCTATGCTCTGTTTTTTATGATATATTTTTGCAATGTTACTAGAAGCTCTCTTTATTTATCCTTCTCCCTATTGGTTATACCTCTCTCTCTCTCTCTCTCTCTCTCCACACACACACATGCATGTCTATGGGTGAAAGTACAAATTATGTATTACCAATACTTAGCTCTCTTTAACAAGTTCAGAACACGTTCATACCAAAAGAAGACCAAAAGTTGATATAAGGAACACTGTACCCAAGAGTGCAACAATCATTAAGACACAAACCTCTATCAAAATGGCAAGGTCAACCACTATGCTCGTGACATATCCTAGGACAAGTCCGATGACACTCCTTGCTACAGATGATGATCCAATATCCACATCAATCTGAAAAGTTGTAGTAGTTTATTACATTTGAAAAAAAACAAGCAGAATATAGCAGGGCAATCATTAGAGGTGCCCCATAAGCAATCAAGAAAGGTTAATAATGCTTGAAATAACAGTTTTAGTTCTACACCGTCAAGTAAGTCTCTGCTTGTATCATAGAAAAATTGCTAGCCACACTCATAGATTTGTTATTGCTACAAATAGTTATATAGATTCTTTGAAAGTTTGTTCAGTTACTAAACTTCT